GATGATAGTGTGTGAAGTAAGTTGGCTCATAGTAGAGCATGAATTATTACCTGCAATTCTCAACCAATACACCCTTGCCACCTGCAATCCATCTCACTTTCATAATATATTCTTTAAACAACAGTAACTGAAGTTCAAAATTTTGATTAGTTATCAAGAAAGGCTACAAAGAATTGTATTTTTTTTCACACTCGTATAATAGAGGGGGAGGGGGGGGGGGGCAGGCTAGCAGTACAACATCAAATTATCTTATATGATTATATCCTGCAAGTGTGATAAAGAAAAATATGTTTGTGTACTAAAAGTGAAACAAAAACAAATCACTGGAAACTTTTGGTTGTTAATAACTCAAAAGTTACACTCAAATCAAAACGAGGTTTTCAAAGCTTAAAGTTTAAGGATGTAAATTCTATGCCATTTCTATGAATGCTAATTGCTATTCTTAAAGCCCCACTGTCCTACTTGCTCTCTCTATATAGAAAACTTCCCCAATCGGTGTCTGTTGGTCCCCCATGATCCTCTCTTATGTTAGTTGAGAGCTCAGTTGATGAGATAGCCACCTGTCAGTGACCTGGCTGGGTGGTCTAATCCCTTCTGGCCCAGTAGTATTGACGGTCTTTAAAACAATGGTCGGAATGTTTGATTAGATCTTTTACTCAGACATGTAGTATATTAGTAATAAAATACATGTTTGGCAATATGGTATTTCATTTCAGACCATAATGAGAAGTAATATTTTAATCTGGGATCTCTCGTTGGCACAGAAAATAAGGAATGTACTCCTGTTGAGCAAACAGTGAATTTATATAAAACTAATAGCCCTTTAAAGATTACTAGAAGAAGAAAAACAACAAGAAAGAAGAAAAAGAAATATACTTGTGATGTCAGCTTTAGATCTTAAAGTGCTTGTAACAATATTGGATTTTTTTTTCTTCTTTCAATTAATAACAGCTGGCTTATTGGAATTGGTTACAAAGATACAAGTGGACTTGTCTGTAGTAGTTGCTGAAGAGGAGCAGTCAGCACAAGGAGCGTGTGCCTCCAAAACGACGTGGGAACTTCTCCCAAGTTCATCTCAAATCACAAGGCTCTTCAGGAATCAAGATGTAACAATGGAGGTTAAGAAGGAGTTTGCGACCCTCCAGATTTGGACTACTCGCTATATACATTCTCAAACAATGGATTGTAGCACTTCTGCACAAAACTCAACAAGTCATGATTGAGGAAAACGCAACAAATACTCAGTTGAGCATTGATTTATGTGACTGGTATTAGGGTAGGTTTCAGCTTGGTAATTTTATATAAACTATGTCCCAAAAGAACCTCGTTGGTCCTTATGGTTCCACGCCACAAGCTGCTCCCTCCCCTGTTTCGGTATACCGAACCCAGACTATCAAGGGATCAAATGAATTAAAATCCACACTTGATTACAAATAAATTGATCTTTTGAATATTGTCATCATTTCAGGGTGGTTTTGGTTACGGGTTAGTGTGAGCTTTCTGTGCGTAAAATTGAGGGTACTTCGTGCGGAGATCAGTGAATGGATATTTCATGTACAATGCAAGAGAGGTGTCTATCTTCATTGGAATTCAGGATGTGAATTCCAATGAAGATGGCTTGTTTATAAGGAGAGAAGCAAGATAGATTGATGTAAACTTAATGACATCAGGGAATGTTTGCCTGTATTGTTTGAATGACTCGGATATTGAATAACATGAAGTTAAGTGGAAAGAATGGCATAATATATTCGATTTGTACACCATCCTATTGAATTTTTTTTTAAATAGCATTATATGATAACATTTGTGCACAGGTCTATGGAAAACCAGTAAGTGGCATATACAATAAAATCATTTACCGCAGCTCAAGGAATACCGTAGATATCACTTACCGCAGTTGCTGCTATTTGTGCCCACATGCATATTAATATCAAACAGTTGAAGCTAAAACTAATATAATCTAATTAACAGGGTTTTTTTCTCCAATTATCATAACAAGAGAGAAAAACATACTTTTATAATAACTTCCATTATTTCTTTATTTGATCCACGAGACCGAGTAGTCCAGCCCTTGTGAAACTGTATGTTCTCCAGATTTCATTGTCAGGGCCTATCAGGGGGGGGGGGGGGGGCGGATCTAGCTTTTTGCTAAGGGGGGGGGGGGTTGTCCCTATGACGATGCAGAGATTGCGGCGAGGCGATTAATGCATTTATAAGATGGATTTTTTTAAAAAAATTCTCTCTCTCTCGCTGTCTCACTGCATTATAAATTTTTCATTTTCACGACATCAACATCTCTCACCATTAAACAGTTCTCTCATTTCCTTTCCTTTCTCTTTTGCTCTCTCTCTCTCTCTCTGAACTCTCACCTTCTGTTTCCAGATTTTTTCCACATATGATTCTATTTATCCAACCATATATGCACACTAAAAAGAAAAGATATGAAGGGAATACTGTATATAAGATAATAAACATGTTTAATTTATTCATTTTATTACAACAAACTAATATGTTTACAGATTATAACATTGATGGTCAAATATTAAGCACAAATGACCTCATCTGCTACTTCCATTTGTAGATTACTTTTTTCTTTAAAAATTCAACAAAGCATACTTAGGCTAAATCTGAGCACTATTTTTTTCTCCAGGGAATGTATTGTATCATGACCTGCACCCTTCATTATAAAACACATTATAAAAACATTTCTTAAAAAAAAAAAAATACCTATGACTCAATGACTGCAATTTTTTCCAGAGAAACAATAATACTGTACAATAGTATATAACATCCTTTAGTGTGATGGTTACTCCGTGGTCCACACACGCACCAAGGTATATCAGACCTTTTATTAACAGTTGCTTGTTTTATACAATATATAAATCATACTCATAGGCCCATTCCCAAATGTTATAATTATTATCAATAAACAGAAATTGATAAAAGATGACCCCTTCCCAAAACTCTTATATTCCAAAAGTTTGATCTTGGCTGACAGGTGGTAACTTGAGTACTTGACTACATCTTATTTGCCCTATAGACACATACTTAAAATGGATGCCTTGGCAAAGCCTCAGTTTTATAAATGATTGCTTGACTTAGACTGCCGATGAACATATTTGTTGTGTATTTATCTACACCATTAACTTTTCTCCACATCGTGCTGTCAGATTGAGATGCTTTAGTGTGATATACTTAATGTTTTACATCATGTTTTTAATGAACTCCTACCTTGCTTAGTTATGCAGACATTGGGCCCTTTTTTTAAAACTTGCGATAGCAGTGGAAAGGATGTGCATAAAAGAAGAGGCGGGATATCCATACTACTACCATGTACTACTACAACATGGGTAAAATTGTATCATTGTATTATACCTTGGTTCCTGGTTACCTCTCCTCGGTAGTTTGAAAACTATGTTTCAGTACCGGTAATCATTGTAATAGTGTTTCTGTTTCATGGTATCACTGGTGTGGTTGTGTGTATGAAGGCCAAATTTTCTATTTTCCTGCTTCGCCTGTCCACAATCACTAAACAATTTGAGCTGAAATACAGGGCCTAATATATAAGGTGATTAAAAAATTAAACATACTGCTTGCAAGGTGAAGTTACACGTACTGCTTGAAGAGAATTGTGAATGATATTTATCTATTGGGAGTTTGACAAAATCCAGGTTCAAAAATTCAGCTTCGGAGGGGGGCACATTACCCCTCAACCCCCCCCCCCCCCCTGTGCGCGATTTTGACTGATGTGTCCCCCCAGGAGTGGCGGAGCGTCTTCCAAAGTGGGGGGGGGGCACCAACAAAATAGGCACTTTCTGGAAAAAAAGGGAATCTCAAAGCGAAAATATCAATTTTTTAGACAATGGTATATACCCCTACATTGTGATTACATTATCAGGGACGATTTCAACATTTGTTTCTCTTTATACACCATACATATATATCTTTAGTTCATGAATTAGTTGTTATGTGTAATTTTGTTGTATTAATATTGTAATATTGTAAAGCGCATTGCTATTTTCTTCGAAGATGAAATGCGCTATATAAGTCTAGGTTATTATTATTATTATTATACAAGATATTGCAGTACAAAAAATTGCATCTTATTAAGAGGGAAAAACCCAATCCTGATGGGGTTATAAGCACATTCTCACAATGGAAGACTGAAAAGCCCTTTAATAAGTAACGTAATTATATCATCTATAAATGCGAGCGAGCTTTGGGGGAAGTTACTCTAGTCGCTTGAAATTAGGGGCGCGTTTAATGATGAGAGGAAAAGGGGACACTAAAGGGATAAGGGGAAAAGGAGCATGTGTCATGTAAAAAGGGTAATTATCAGAGGTGAAAATGGGGCACTTCTTAGACCTACAGAAAGAGGCACTCACCAGGAATGAAAAAAGGCACTTATGAGAATGGGAATTCTCACGTGATTGGGAATACTTGATAACCCTATAGTCTAAGTTTCATTGACTAAAAACTTAAACTTTGAAAATTATATCAAAAATTCAAAAACTTAACCTTAGGTTAAGTTTTTGATGTTGACGCCGTCGCCGTCACCGGAAAAGCAGCGCCTATGTCTCACTTTTTGCTTGTAGGCGAGACAAAAAGGGAGGTGCAGATCAGATTTTAATAGGGGCATTTATTGGAGGTGAAAGGGGGCTATTCTGAAAACGGGGAAGTGGCTCTTATTAAAAAGGAAAAGAGGCACATGTTAAAGTAAACAAGGCACTTATGAGAGATGAAAAGGGGTAATTATGAGAAGGGTAAGGGGTACTTATGATCAGAAAAAAGAGCATTTATTAGGAAGGAAAAGGGGGCGTGTCAAATAAAAGTGGCAGTTATTAGAGACAAAATGGGACACTCATCAGAGATGAAAAGAGCACTAATCAGGAGATGGAGGGGGCACTTATCAAAAGTGAAAAGGGGCATTTCTCGTAGTTGAAAAGGGGCACTTACTAGAGATTAAAAAGGGCAGTTATGAGAATGGAAAATGAACACTTATTGCATAGAATAATGGGAACTTGTCGAAGGATAAGGGGCACTTATCAGAGGTGAAATGGGGAAGGGGCAATTTTACAAATTTATAGGGGAACTTGTCAAAGTAATATGGCACTTTACCTATGTGAAAAGGCCATAAAAGGGGCATACTGGGGGTACTTGAAAAAGTGGGGGGGGGGGGGGGGCACTGACCCCTCCCCCCTGGCTAACAACATATCTCCGCCACTGGTTATGAAGTTTATAATACCAAGGTTTTGATACCCAGTCGCAGCTCCAGCAGCTCATTGAAGAGGCTAAGTAGAACTTCATAGTCCATACTGTACATGTATGTCTGTTGAATGAAAAGAGAAGAGAATGAAAGTAAAACATTGATACCTACTTCATACATGTATCTCTGTTGTAACATAAAAATGTCTTGCATGTACATTGTAGGCCTAGGCCTCAAATTTTTTCATGTGGAATCATACATAGCCATCCCATTAATACATACTTCTCAAACCAGCCCTTCGCATCCCCTCCAGCTTGGCCTTGACCTCACTCATTTCAAAATGTTGTTTTACTTGAAAAAAAATAAACAGATCAAGTTAGATCAAAAGTAAATATGTTTACCTTCTCTTGTGGTGGTCTGTTTTCTCCAGGACATTCTTGTTTCAAGCACATACTCCAAGAAAGCAAGCATTTGGTACTGCATGCATTAACTGCGACAAGTGTCTCTGTACATTTTCCTGTAAAAGAGAGGGGGGGGGGGGAATTCAATTCTTAGAATAAAAGGAAATGAGCATGATCATTTAAACATTGATGAGCATTTGCAGAATTAACTGTTCTATTTTAATTTGGATTTTCTCTTTACCAAAAAAGCCCTCCTTCATCCTTCATCCTTCATCCAGATCTAGTTGATCTACAGTCTCTAGATGATCTAGATGCATGTCTCGTAACTGTTCATTTTATCAAATTGAAAAAACGCAAAAAAGGTATGGACCTAGATCTATATATGACAGAGAAAACTTAATCGTGTTTACAGCAAACAAAAATTCAAAGATAGAGCCTAGAGCAGAGGCAAATTAGGCTAAGCCAACAAAGAGTTTAAGAAACACACAGGCACCACTATACGTACGCCTGTATACAATGTAGTCTAGACTGAATATTTTGTTTTGGGGGGGATCGTGTTTTAATTTGTTAGATAGCTACAAGACTCTGTACGACTACGAGTATCACATTCACAGACAGGCGCGGCCGAGCGGGCCTTGGCCCCCCCCCCCCCCCCACCCCATCCGCAAAAAAAAAAAAAAAAAGAGAGAGAGAGAGAAGGAAAAGAAGGGAAAAAGGAGAGAAAGGGAAAGAAAGAAGAAAATAGGGAAAAGGAGATCGGGGGGCCGAAAGGGCCTTGCCTCCCAGCTGTAACCTCTCCCCCTCCCCCCATCAAAAAATAAAAGAGAAGGAAGGAAAGGGAAAGAAAAAAAGTAAAGAGGGGATAAAGAGAAGGAAAAAGAGGTAGAAGAAAAGAAGGGAGAAATCAGTTGCAATTTTCCCGCCAACAAGTTGTAGTTTGAGGGGGGGGGCCAAAGGCCCTTGCCTCCTCCTCCCTCCCCCCCCCCCCCCCCCAAAAAAAAAGGAGAAGGAAGGGAAAGGGATAGAGGAGAGCTAAAAGGAAACAAAAAAGAGGAAGAAGAAAAGAAAAGGGTGATAAGAAGGGGAGAACAGTTGCGATTAATCCCGCCAACAATGTGTGGATCGGGGAGGGGGGGGGGCCAAAAGGCCCTTGCTTCCCCCTAGCAAACCTAAAACAGAGAGTAGGAAGGGAAAGGAAAGGGAAATAGGAGAGAAAGGGAAAGAAAAAAAGAGAAAGAAGAAAGGTAGGGGAGATCAGTTACGTGTAGATCAGGGGGGGGGCACTGGCGTACTGATGGGGAAGGGGACTTAGGGGGGGGGGGGGTTGACAGATGCCCCCCAAATATAATTCAAACGTGGTTTATTTCTAAATTCGATACCGGTGATTACCGGTGATTTACAAATGTTGCTGAAATGACATAATTTTCTGAGATTTTTCCTCAAAGTTTAATAAATTATACTTTTTAATGCGTTTGTGGGACAATGGCAAATTCATAAAGAAAGAAAGAATAGTGACGCCAATTAGTGTCCTGCCAGTGTCACAAATAAGGTATGCTAATAGTAATATGCTCATCTGACCGCAATTAAATGCCTATACCCCTGAGCTTCTGGGGGTTCCACCCCTTGACCCCCGCACGTTCTTTGCCCTTAGACACCACGCCAATTTCACAACGCTCTACTTGATCGTAAATACCTCCCCCCCCCCCCCCACCCTCACCTACTTAGAGAAACGTTTAGCGGAACCTGCATGTAAGAGTGGGGTGGTGCAGATTCTTTTCAAATTGGGGCCCCCCCCCCCCTAAGAAATCCTGGATCCACGCCTGTTCACAGGTAGTCCAATTAATTACTGGTCTGTAGGCCGAACTTTGTTAGGCCTCAAATTTTCTACTCTCGTACTCGTCTATCTCGGTATCTGGTCTAAATTTTGGCGCTTGTTCATGTCAACTGTGACCATGCTTTTTAGTATAGTATTAATGACTGCTTTGAGAGAAATAGTTGTTTTATTACGCTCAAGGGAAGGTTAGAATTGTGCTATTCCCCGAGGCTTGCCGAGGGGAATAGCCCAATTGTAACCTTCCCGAGAGCGTATGAAAACAACTATTTCTCGAATATTAAAGCAGTCATTAATACTTTTATATGCCGAAAAAAAATAGACTAAAAAATGAAAAATGAAAAATATTTATCATTTCGTCGAAGACGGGATTCGAACCCTTGCGTACAACAAGAGGTGTACCGAAAACCAACGCTTAGACCACTCGGCTATGGCCCGCCGTTAACATGCTTGGCAGTTTTCTCCAATATATACATTAAAATGGATTGAAACCGGCTTCGCGTGTGATGAATGCTTCGCAAAAGCTCCATATACGGACTCTTCTTTTACTTTTGCAATGCATATTGGCACGAACTTAGATCAAGATCTATCGGCAGATGTTGTTTTTTTGTTTTTGGAAGTTTATTTTCGTCTTCATGTCAACAATGCAAGATAAAATTGTCGGTAAGATCAGGGATATATATCCCTGGTAAGATCGATCGAGATTCAATTGTATTGAAATTACCGACCAATCCTTCGCACACATACGGCATCCTCCATCGCTCAAACCATTTTTTAACATGTAAACCTATGGGGTAACCATGGAGGCTGACCAACTGTTTTAATAACCATGGTTATTAAAAATATTGAAATGTTTTATGCATGGTTACCGAGAATTTTACAGGAACAGTTGAAGTTTATGAATGCAATTCGACCAATCAGATGGCTGGATTTCTTAAGTGAGGTATATAATGTTAGCTATTAACTTTCTTCTGACCCAACTATGAAAGTAGTTTTTCAACAGTTGGACCTAAAAGTAACAAAAAGCTTGTATCATTGATGCAGCTAGCGCTAGTGAAGTGATCTGCCTATAGACCCTATACTCGTATCTAATTTTCAGAGAGGGTCTCGCCCGAAAGTTTGGGCCAAGGATCAAGGAGTGACGATGGCAATCGAGCTGCAATATTTCTCACGACGATAAATAACGAATCAAAAGTTCGAGTGTAGATTACTCCTAAATTCATCTTAAACCACTTCATAATGTACAGACATATCAGCAGATTCATATCTACAGCAGATATGTTTATAAATATGATTCAATTTACGAGATTTGAACGTAATTACAGCTGTACTCACCATCAAACTTTCAAAGAAAACTTCGAGCTCTCACTCTGTGTGGGTGACGTCATACATTAAATATGCATGCAGCGAAAGTCTTGTCTTCAGATCAGGCAATCGTACATAAAAACTTCCATCACAGATAGAAAAATTTCTTATTAAAATAATGAGGATGATTACAGTTATCAATCATTATAACCAAATCTGCATACAAATAAGAAGGAGAATGGTGATACAGAGACTTATTTACCGAACGTAGGATTTCTGATAAGAATGCACAAAGAACACGAAATGGAAAGGTGCCTGGAATAGAGGATAATAATATCAGTCAAGCTCATGAATATTCATATTATGGGCGTTACCAACCATTGACATTTGCATACACAATCGTTATTTAATATATAATGGAAATGCGCTTTTCATTATATATTATATAATGGAAATGCGCTGTTCATTATATATTATATAATGGAAATGTGCTTTTCATTATATATTATATAATGGAAATACGCCTCTCATTATATATTATATAATTGAAATGTGCTTTTCATTATATATTATATAATGGAATGTGCTTTTCATTATATATTATATAATGGATCACGCTTTTCATTATATATTATATAATGGAAATGTGCTTTTCATTATATATTATATAATGGAAATACGCTTTTCATTATATATTATATAATGGAAATGTGCGTTTCATTATATATTATATAATGGAAATACGCTTTTCATTATATATTATATAATGGAAATGGCTTTTCATTATATATTATATAATGGAAATGTGCTTTTCATTATATATTATATAATTGAAATACGCTTTTTATTATATATAAATAATGAAAGTGTGAATTTTAATTATTTATAAATAGTGGCAATTATATATAAATAATGAAACGTTCTTTGTCATTATTTATAAATAATAAAAATGTGTTAAGAATTATATACAAATAAAAATGTACATTTTCTTGCATTATATGTAAATAATGGTTATTATTTGTTAAATAATGATTATATAACATATAATTTGTCTATATAATTGTTTTACAAACGGCGCCTCATACCTAGCTCACACTAAATAAACATTGGCAACTCTACTACCCAACATGTGATCATTTTTATTAAGATTTGTACAGCATATTAAATTTTGTTTTGGTTGCAATTAGTGTATTACAGTAAGTAATCTTGCCTCTATTAGGGCATGATAATGGTTTCAATGAGAACTAGCTTCGTGAATTTAGAAAGAAGATTCAGAACATTTCGAATGATTTCTTTTGCCCTCCAAACCCTCAACCTCTAATAAGCAAAACAAAGATTTGGGTGGCTTGCAGAACACCACATTTACGTATTCCAGTATGGATCTAATTTTCTTTTCTCTCTCTCATGTGTTTGATACATGTATAAAGAGAGGTAACTTCTAAAGAAAAACAAATTATGGTAAAAACGCTTTCAACTCGCGATGTTAACATGATACCAAGGGATGTACTGAATTTCCTTACTTATCTTACGCAAACTATAAAGTTCACTCAGACCCGACTCAGACCCGACGCGGGATTTTACGAAATGATATTTACATTTGTTAATATAACTCAAATAGAATCTTCATACATTGTTGATAATCCTGTTATTCATCAACTACTATAACCCAATGGACAAAGACTTGTCAGTTGTGGCGGGAAGGAATTATGGAATTATGGACCTTGAACAAACCCTGCTGATGAGGAGTTATAGGAGTGTGAATTCCGCGCGAAAATCTTCGTTTTTGTTTGTTTCGTTCTTCTACGAGGTAAAAGTTCGCTTGCAGACCACAGAGACAACGGATTTGTTCTTCCGCGCGCTACGAGGGACCAGCATTTTGGGCGGCAAAAAGACATGATCATACGCACAACTTGCTAAAGACCGCGGACTTTATATTGCAGCAAAAATCCGAGAGTTCTTTGAGGTCCCAGTTTAAAGGATTGGGAAAAATTATCGCGGCTTTGTAAATGTAACAGGGCCTAGTCGGAATGAATTTCTGGCACAAGATATAGTATACTTTACTGACACATACTGGGGTTAAAAAAATGAAAGCAACAGTTAAATTGCTTCAAGGCAAATGGGTCGACATTTATTTAGGTACACAAACGCGACACGCAAGAGAATTTTGATATCATCGAATTTTTAACGTTATCTGTAGTATTTCCCTGTCACATGTGATATGCATAATTACCTAAGATTGTATGATACATATACAATAATTATTGAGATTGAGATAATAATTTCAAGCCACAGTATGACTATTTATTAATGTACATATTTCAAAGCAAGATTAATTTTAAGAATATGCTTGACCTCGTTCTAAAAGGCCTGTATTTTTTTTAAGTTTGGGAATTCCTTCAAAATTAAGAAGAGATAGTCAATGATAGGACGCCAGCTTTAGGACCCTCTGGTACAAACTGTCATGAGAGAGGGTCGTGAAGTATTCAGGTGATAGCTAGGTAAATAGTAATGCTATTGACTCATAAATTTATCATGCTAGGCAGGGATGCAGAACTTGACTAATCATACGCAAACTATAAAGATGACTCCGAAATGACGCGCATTTGGACGAAATGATATGTAGCACCATTTTATTATTATAACTATTATTATCATTATTATTATTATTATTATTATTATTATTATTATTATTATTATCATTATTTTCATGTTAAAAAATAAATTTAATGCAAACAGAATCTTAATACTCTGTTACTCATTAATTACTGTCATCCTTTGGGCGTAAATTTATTAGTTGAGGCAGGGATGGAATGTTTGTGATTCAGGCTAGTTGAAACTTTGAAAACAAATCTGGAAGCGAGTAGAAAGATCATTTATTCATTGATGTAAAATATTACTTGTTATTTGAAGCCATGGTGGCATTGTCAGTTCCAAAATTGCTTTTTGCAAGGCCCCTGGCCTACACTAACTACATATCCATTATGTTTTAAGATGGAAATTACAGATAAAATTGATGACTTAAGATTATAATTAATCATGATTTTAAGACCAACACCTATGCCGTCTATAGCTGTTCGCTCTCAAGACTCAGTTAAAACGAACAACAAAAAGTACCCTTACCCTAACTATTCCGTTCAGATCTTAACGCTCTCAAAACGCCGGATTTCGCAATCCTTTTAAGCTTTATATTACAGATCCTAGCTCACACTAAATAAACATTGGCAACTCTACTACCCAACATGTGAGCATTTTTGTAAAGATTTGTACAGCATGTTAACAATTTGTTTTGGTTGCAATTAGTGTATTATACAGTGAGTAATCTTGCCTCTATTAAGGCTTGATAATGGTTTCAATAGAACTACCTTCATGAATATCGAAAGAAGATTCAGAACATTTCGCATGATTTCTTTTGCCTCCCCAAATCCTCAAGCTCTAATAAGCAAAACAAAGATTTGGGTGACTTGCTGAACATCACCTTTACGTATTCCAGTATGGATCTCATTTTATTTGTGTTTGATACATGTATAAAGAGAGGTAACTTCTTCTACAGAAAAATAAGTTATGGTCATAACGCTTTCAACTCACAATTTTAACATGCTACCAAGGGATGTACTGCATTTCCTCATTTATCTTACGCAAACTACAAAGGTCACTCAGAAACGACGCGGGATTGCACGACATGATATTTACATTTATTTTGATATTCTTTATCAGGCATAACGCAAATATAATCTCTATATATTTTTGATAGTTATGTTTTTCATCAACTACTAGCAGCCAATGAACCACAGACTTGTTGTCAGTTGAGGCGGGATGGAAATATGGAAATAAGGCGGCAATCAAGAGAAGCCTTTCTCTCTCTCTCTCTCTCTCTCTCTCTCTCGAGGGGTTGAAAGAATGAGGGGGCTCAAACACCCTTACACACACACTTTGCTTGCAATAAACTAGAATGACTATAAATCACAAAGTACGTCTTCAAGATGAATTTGAGTAGTGGTCATGTAATTCCATTCCACTGCGCATCGAAAGTAATATATGGGACTACTTACACAAGCATGACAAGTTTGGTGAAAACTTTCAGCTTTTATTTTTGTTATACCGTGATTTAACATGATATGGAGGGATATATATCTTACGCAAACTTCACCCATCAATCAGAAACGACGCGCGATTGCTCGAAATGAATTTAACATTTATTTTCATATTCTTTATCAGGCATAAACAAAAATAGAATTGTCTTTTTACCCTACCCATTCCCCTCCCATCTTAACCACCAACACAAAAAACACCTAGACTTTGATGGCTCGTAGAACATTAAATTTACATATGAGATTACTTCTTCTTCAGGATAATTAGTTATTCTTATAATTATTTTACCTCATGATTTTAACATGATACCAAGGGACTAATAGAACTTGACTTATAACTATAACATCACTCAGAAACGATGTGGGATTACACGAAATGATATTTAGCCTTCATTTATTTGATGTTCTTTATCAGCCATAACGAAAAATGAAATCTACATATATTTTTGATAATTCCGTTATTTATCAACTATTATATACCTCATACGTAGATCTTAATTCATTGATTGGTCAAAACTTTATCCCATGGCAAGGCGCATCTCGATCTATCATTGCGTCAAAGGGTTTTGGCGTTCTATCAATTGATCCAAGGTCAAATAATAGAATGCCAAAACCCTGTGATAAAACGCGTAACCCCTCCGCGACTTTTGCACACATCGCACACAGAGTGTACGGGATTTCAAATGCCTCCAACGGGCAACTCCCCAGGTGTCAGGGCGCTCACGCCTTGCAATTTACGCTGAGCCGCAGTAACTGCACCACACTACTGCAGTACCTGTATTGAGTGGATTTCCGTATGTTTGATTTCTTTTAGCGTCGGATATTTGAAACTGTTTTGAACTTCGAAAGACTGTAAATATGTTACTGTGAGGAGCAAATAGACTCTTGAAGTAGGACTTCTTTCATCATCGTTAAAGCTAGATCTACAGCTAGACCTATTCATGAATCAATGAAAAGGATGAGGTATATAAAAAACAATATGGACTGCTCTGTATTCGGATGGTGTAGAAATTATCACTCCCTCGGTGGTGTTCATACCGACCCTTCTATCATCATCCTCATGAGCAGTCAATATTTGTATACTATCATGTGTAAATGAGGCCGCATGTAAGTCGACTACGAATACCAATATACTACCGTCAAGATGAATTTTAGTTCT